AATTAAATGTATTATCAATAACAGGATTAATATTTAGCATTATTTTTAATGACTATGATCTTAAGTGCTTAATAATTTTTTTTTAATTTATATACGAGGATAGTTATATCCGAGGGAAAAGTTTTCTAATAAGGAAAACGCAAGATTTTCCAGAAATTTTTTTTTATTTTTCAACCTAGTTATCTTGCAGTGCGATACACTTCGTCCATCGATTTTCTAACTTTTTAATCCCCTCAGTATAATAAGATTTATCTAACTCCGCAAAATAAGTTGTTCGGCTATGAATTCATTATTTAAGGAATCATCATCAATCCATGATGATGATTCCTTAAATAATGAATTCATAGCCAAACAACCATGATGAATCCATGTTTCATCTACTGTTATAAAACGCCGAAAAAACTCCGTAGAATCACATTTAAACAAATCCAAACATTCTTAATGTTTTTAAACGTTCATGCGAACACGCTTCTGGTTCACTGTCAATCGTGACGCCCATCGAGCGGAGAGTTTTTTCATTTCCAAAACTTCTTGCGAAATATTGTGAGTATGATCTATAGAAATGCTAGTCATGTCAGCAAGCTCGCGTATCTTTATCGGCGGTCATTTAAAATGGCATTATAAATTTTTGATACGTTTTCGTTGGTCGTTTTGGGCGTTCCAAGCGTTCATCATCTGCAATGGACGGCCACTTGAATTCAACTCCTCATTTTTTAACAGTCGAAAACGAAGGACAGGACTCTTTTAATGTGGAATCTAATTCCTTTTGAATTTTAATCGAAGTTAAACTCTTTAAAACGAAATAATTTATAACTCGAATTTCAACTTTCCATTTTTTAGAAAATGGGAAAACGTACTTCTTTCCTCGATCAACATGTAAAAACAAATAAAATAATAAAATTTCACAAATCTGTTTTGCAGCACGCCATCTAAAGGATCATACTTGAAAACTATTATAGCCATTTGGTCAAATTTGCGTTCTTTCTATGTCAGGTCGAGAATTTTTCGAACTACTCGTATATAAATTCAAGAACAATTAATTGCAAATTGCATGCCGTTATCTTTATGAGGAGAAAGGAGATGATCAATTTCAAATTTAATTGTCGATTTATTAAAGCGAATTTAGCTACGATTTTGAATAATTACATTGTAAGTCTGTTAAAAAGTCTGTTAAAAATAACTCATGTAATTTGCAATTTAAGCAACGATTCTTGAATTATATGAATAAATTAAAAAAAAATTATTAACTGCTTAAGATCATGCCCACTGAGAAAAAGTATTGCCATTTTTTATCCTATTCTTTAAAACTTACTTTGATTTATTACATTATTTGTTTAAACATATTTTATTTTTTTAGGAAAATCAAATAATGAACAAAAATTAGACAAATATGTCGTATATATTTACATTTTCTTCGATATTATTTTGTAATTTTATTTTATTCAAATTAATTATATTTGTTTTTTTTATAAGCTCTTCGATAGTAATTCAAGAGGTTTTTATTTCTTTATTTATTTCTTTCGAGGACTTTCCCTTTTCTCGAAAATTTAGTATTTTCTAATTGAGGCGAGGAGTTCTTATTTTTAATCTTCTCTGGATAGGATTGTGTCGAATTACGTAGTGAGCTTCCCTTCTTGCAACCGATGGAGCTGGAAATTGCTAGAGGAATATGCGAAAACTTTGCAATTCCAA